TTCTTTTTGGCTTTAGAAACATGAACATTTCCCTGACTTCTTGTAAGCTTCAGATTTTAGTTCTTGAATCATTCCATTTCTAGCCCTGTGCAGTTGCACCCCATTATTGCATGGATTAGAATTTAACAACAAATGCAAGAGATCCCTGTGGAGATTTCTGGAGGTCTTTCTCCATTAAACACTCTTTTCTCTAGTACTCTTTCCTGAAAATGTTGTCTATCTCAGCCTCCAAGAAACCTGCTATTTGTACTGTAAATTCTGTAGGTCCACCTTTCTCTGCTTCGTAGCCCTCTTTTTGAAACCCAGTTTGTTAAGTGCCTCTAAGTCAAAAGACCAGACCAGAAAATCTTGCTTGTTTCTCTTTTCCCAGGGGTAACAGTTCTGTACTGCCTAGTGTACAGTGTCTAAACACTGTGTATTTAAATATATTGCATGTAGCAGGAGAGTAAGTCCAGTCCAATTTACTCCAGAATGGCCAGGAGTGGAAATACCCACAATCTTTATTAAAGAGTAGAAATCACTATAAAATCATTCGATTTTTTTATATATTTAGAAGCCACTAATATTCAAAAGATATTTTAGACATAAATGAAAAATTGTAATAAATACAGTACTAAATGCTATACTTTGTCAAATTTGCTGAAGCACTGACATTACTATTAGATAATAACATAACCTATATTATCACTACAAGACAAAAAAGACAAAAGGTACATTCAGGTCTAGTTATCTCTGCCTCTTGATCTTTAAATAAGAAAAAAAGTGCTAAAAATGTTGTCTTATTTTCCTTTTTTGGCTGATCACTTTATCAAATCCTACCTAAGTCTTTAGATATAATAATTTCTAACCACACTGTAAAGAGTATTGAAATGTTAGACTTGTAGAATTTAAAAAGTGCTAAATGATTTGTAAAATTTTGTGACTTTTCTTTTCCTTAATTTTCTATCCTGGATTGGTCATTCAGTCCAGTGCCTAGAGTTACCAAACAAGTTTAGTTTACAATAGCTCGAACACTTTAAATCAGATCTCAAAATTAATCAGCTTAAAATTTTGACCTTTTCAGGTACAAATCCTATATCAGTGATTGAATTATTTCATAACTTACTTCATTGTACTAAGATAGGTAGTATTTGTTTACTAACGCATGGATTTTCCTTTATTCATACATTAAAATTCCTATAAATCTTATTTGGGTAAATGGGTGCATGAGAATCTCAGAATTCTTTAATACTTATTGGCATAATTAGGTCCTTAAAACGGAGCGATGATGAAGAAATTTACTCTGATTAATGTTTAGTAACAAGTATTTTGAGGTTATCCACACATTCATATTCATTGAGTTATATATAAGCCAGCAGGTGGCAAACAAGATTTTTTTTTTAAGATTTTTATTGGGGAATTGGGGGGATGGGAACAGTGCTGGGGAATTGGGGGAAGGGGAACAGACAAGTTGCTGTCGTTTTGTTCTTCAGTCTAGTTGTGGAGGACGTTGCTTCACTGGCCCAACTTGGCACCATCATTGCGCTCTTCCCAGGTGAGGCAGATCAGTCGCCGGCTTCTGGACGGCCGCTCATGGCAGCTGCTGGCCACTCACGCTGGCTGCTGGCTACACACGGTAGCCCATGGCAACCCACTGCCACAGGGGCTGCAGCCTACGCCGTTGCCGGCAACTCACAACAGCCCAGCTCCAGGTTGAGCTGTTGTTCATCATCTTAGCTGTAGAGGGCAGTGTCACTGGCCCTCATATGTGGGATCCGAACCGGGGCCCTATGGCATCCCAAGCCAGTTCTTAACCATCGCGCCACTCGGCTGGCCCAAACAAGATTTTTTTGTACTACTGCTCTTGTTGAAGAAGCATTGAACTAGGTATCAATGGATCTCATGAATAGCTCTTTCAGAGTACTATGGCATAAGGAATATTAAACTCTCTAGTTGCAGAGCCACTGGTATTTTGATAGCACTATACTTTATTTAATTTTCTCTTGATTTACTGTTTTATCCTATAATTCCTTCTCTAACAAATAGTTTTGAGAGACATAGGATGTCGATTTGAATCTATCTTTTGCTCTGATTTCCACAATTAAGAGTAAATGTTAGCTGCCCTTGTGTTTACTTTGTGGGGATCTTTACAACATTTAAAAGGTCATGCAATATATATTTAGTCTCCGAGAACGGGTAATGTAACATTCTTTTGAAAGATTTAACAACATTAATCCTCATGTTTTTAAACACAAAACAGTAATTTCATCTGTGGATAATGATTGTTTTAATTTTGTTCCCATAAATATTTCCATTTTCATGTGACTTATTAGTAGTCATTGATACATGAAGATGAAAATTAATTTCTTCTATGTACATTTGATTTCAGGAGTTTTAGATTTTGTACCAATAATTCAAGATCAATCAAGATTGGTTATATTTGGACTTATGATTAGGCTTTGGGGTATTTAAATAAATATATTTGTTGCTATCACATTCAGAGATGAAAATTCAACCATAATACATGATTTGCTCATTTCTTTCCTCTGTGAAATTCATCTATTGTTAACACTACTTCCATGTTCTCTACAAAATTAATTTTCCTTCCTATAACTTGTATTCCTTCCTCTATAACTGCATTAACCATTCCATTTTAACAATAACTATAGCTTGTTATTCTCTTCCTAATGGGGTAGTATTAAAAAACAAAAAAATAGTGATTGAAGACAAACCAAAGTTAGGTGACATACATGCTTCATGATTTACAAATATAAATTAAATTATTTAGATGAACTCTATATAATTTAAATAAAATAAACTATGCTTCATTAAAGCCAAAAACTATTTGAAGGATTCTAATGATTGACTGCTTGGCGGACTGATTTTTCTAGAAGTAGAAAGTGAATCACTAATTATACAACAGAAACGTTTGAGTTGCTCTCCAAATAACACAATAACTGAAGACTCTTTAAAGCCTAATGACTTATAATCCTCCCCTCCTTGCTTTTTTATTTTTAAGTGAAAAAGACTCAATTTTTAAACAAAATGTAGAATATAAATACATCATAAGGAAAGTAAATTATAGTGTAGAATTAAATTTAAAATATGAAACAAACCCTGAATCAAATTTAAGAAAACTGAAACTGGCACTTCTGCAATCTCTTCCATATCACTCAGCTTTAGCGTTTTCAGCATTGGAGCTTTTAAAAAAAGAAGCTTCTAATCAGAAAGGTCATTGCACTGCACGAGTCTGCATGGATTCAGAGGTTAAGGGGACCTGGTCTTGTGTAATGTGTCCTATCTCAGTCCTCCTTTCTTCTATTTTCCTTCAATCCATTTCTAACTGCGGAACCCAGTTTTTGAGAAAGAGGACCCATACTCCCAAACACCTTCTCATTCCCCCCACTTCCTGGGTCTCCTTGATGGAAAGCCTTGTGATTTTTCATGAGGTAAAAATCAGAGGCATGAAAACGAGGTCCAGAGACCGACTTGCAGACTTCTAGAGTTTCATACGCATCAGACTACAACACAAAAAATACCCAAGCCAAGGTTGGACCCTGCTTTAATGATTCTGGCGAGGGCAGACTGTCATAAACAATTTTGCAATGAGCCAGGTTTTTGTTTTGAATAATGTCCTTTCCAATAGTACTTAAATGTACACATCTCTTGAATTTGAGCGAGAACACACGGTCCCAGACGAGCTCGGTCTGGCAACGCAACCCAGAAAGTGTAGCAGCGCTTCCAGGGAACAGCAAGGGTCTGCTGGCCAGGGAAGAACCGCGGCCACATCCCCACAGAAGTGCCACCCCAGCCAATTGCGTCCCCCCCTCAACCTCGGACAAGGAAGGTGACAGGTCGTGACAGGGGAGTGAACGCTCCTTACTAGCAGGCTGGAGTCTAGCTCTTCTAGAGAAGGGAGCTCCTTGGTGGGGGTCCTTCAGAGTCCTAGTGAATTTGGGAGCCTGGCCTTTCTCCACCCCCTGTGCTTTCTCTGCCTTTCTTTGCCCACTGCGCCCCCACCCCAACCCTTGCATACGCAGAAGAAAGTTTTACACAGAATGAGCCCAGCGTTGACGTAGGCATCGCTCCCCTCCCATCTGGATAGAAGCCCAGGAGGAAGCGAGTGGGGGAGATGCGGAGGTGGGGATCGCTTGGATCGCTGTGGTGAGGGTCCCGAGGCGGGGCCGATCAAGGGCCAGCCAAGAGTATTGGTTCTAGACCCACAAATAGATCAAGCGCTTCCCTCCCCCACCAGCCTCTTAAATCCCAATGAGGTCACTGCAATGAGAGAGAATCGGATCCAGAGAGAGGGGGAGGAAGAGGAAGACGACGAGGAGGGAGAAGAAACCCAGACGGGAAAAGGCCATCAGACAAGGTCGCTTTTTCTGGCGACACAGCAACTGCGAGGAGCGTGGTGCTGAATATCATCCGCCCGCTCAGCCTGGGGACCGAGGGACTCGCAGAAGCACTTTGTGTGACCACGAAAACAAAGGAGAGGAGACGAGCGGGAGCGACAGGGAGAAAGAGGAGAAGCTCTGAGCAGTTCCGCTTTGGATCTGTGGGAAGCAAAGCTCATCTTTGTCAAGGAAAGAAAGGGAAGCCTCCAAGGGTCTGGGGTGGTGAAGGAGGCAGCGGGGTTTCCCTGCGGAGCTTGGGACGCGGCAGAACTCTGGACAGCGCCTCGCGAGCCGGGCTCGGAGCTCAGGGCTCCTCCGGGTTCCTGGCTCCTGCTCGAAAGCCCTGCTAACCGGCGTGCCGTCCTCTCCTGGTCTCTGACCACCGAACCCAGGGAAACCCTTCTACGATCCCTGCCGGAACGTGCCAGGGGGTGGAGCAGCTCTTTTGCCTCTGGCGCGGTCAGGGAAGAGGGTCTCCGGTTCAGGAAATCCAGTCCTTGTGGATTACACTTCACTGGTGAAGAAAGAAAAAAAGTTTTGGGGTCTGATAGGGGGCGGGAGGGGTTAAGGAGACTAGTGGAAGAAAGAAGGTGGATGGTTGGTTTCCCTCTCTGATCTGGAAGGAATGATGACCGAGGAAGGATGTGCACCAGCGGCCAGATCATTGGGAGCCTCTTGGTGCTCTCTGTGCTGGAGATAGGGCTGGGGGTGTCCAGCGTGGCCGTGGGGGCGGTCAGCTTCAGCCTGGCCCTCCGACAGCACAAGCCGCAGCTCGGAGACTCGTCCCCGGTATGGAGCGGGGTGTGTGTACGTTGAGCCATTTCACTCTCTCTTTACCTCTTTAAGGTGATGGTCAGTGTGCGTGCGTTAGTCACTCCCTCCCTCGGGGGGGGGTGTAAAAAATCATAAATCTCCTCTGACTTGCATGTAGGTTCATGTTGGCAGGCGATGCTTCTTTACGTTGTTCTTTTATTTATTTAGTAGTTGTTTTCTTTCTTTTTTTTTTTTTCTTACCTTGACTTACCACCAAATTAAATGGCTTTGTTTAAAGTTGGGGAGGAGGGCAGTTTTCACTAGCTGGATCTGCAAAAGGCTGACCAGTGGTGCCCATTGGGGACCACACCTGTCAAGGGCAGACTCACTTAGCTTCTTGGTTCTTGGTTTTTTTACAAGGAAAATCAAAATGAAAGTGTTACATCATTTTCTGGTACCAGGAACAAGTGAACATAGAGTTATGCATTTATCTTTGGGTACCGGTGTCCAAGTTATACTAAGGGCATCACCAATATGCCAGGAAGAGAGAAATGTGGTGTGTGTGAAAGGAGCGTTTTACCCCAGAAAACACTGCTCTTAGTTTTCCCTTGCTAGCTTTCTGTACTTCACATCTGAAAACTCTTTTGTAAGTTCTAGGCAATAAGCTAAACAACAAATGATATGATATTGAACAACATTGTTATTGGAGAATAACTCAGCTCAAACAGTACCTAAATGCTCAGAGAAAATGTCATCCTGTTTCTCTAGGTCAGATGGCAGACACAACAAACTTCTTTATTTGCTTTAGGTGAATCTCCAGGAAAGCCTTAAAGACCCCTTTCTTCCACCAAGGATCAAGAAAATAACTCGGCACTATTCTTAGTATGGGCCTAATTGTGAAAACCAACTTTTCTTCTCCTTTAAGTTCTATAGCTGCTATATCCTTCTGGGTCTCTAGCTTGATCATAATTTAATAGGATGTTATTCTATCACTAATAACCAGTAGGTGTAATTTACAATCATGGCTTAATTACCTGTGCTTTAAGTTACTTAGAAAAAAATGATCATTGATGAGCTCAGAAAAATCTTTCCAAAGTAATTCATTTTTGAGGAAAATTCTACATAACATTCTTAAAACTGGTATGATTCTCCTTTGGAAAATTAGTTTTTATATTTTAATTTTTCAAGTTAGAGAAAAAAGAAAAATGTTGTTCAATCCTAATATTGAGTTCCTCTAAGAATTCTTGTTCTAAACTCAATAACAAGTTGCTACCAACCTCTGAGTGAATTACCTATTTCTTTATTATGTAATTTTTATGAATGCATATTTAAAATTTAAGTATGAAAGCCTAAAAGGCAAATCTTAAATCTGATTTTACATCTTAATATGTAGTAGTGATTATTTTGAGACTTGTAGTTATTATTATTATTTAACAGAAATAGTTAGACTCTAAAACTTCTATCAGACAATTGTCAGAATGAAATATAATGTCAACACTTAAAGCAATGGGAAGAAAATGTGATCTTTTGAGGGCTTATGAGGGAAAAACCTAAAACACTTCAAATCACTTCCCTTCTGAAATTTAAGAAATTGAGTAAATAAACTTAAGTTGTCTCTAAGTAGTATTGAAGTATCCAGTTTATCTTCAGGAATTAAAAAAAAAGATGGTTATATTTGACATCATGTAAGAAAAATGAATTATTTTATCTCTCTTTGCAGAGTATTTACTATTTCTAGATGAGTTTACATATGTGTATGTACAGAAAATGAAAATTTTGAATCAGCTCAGTGAAAAGCAAATAAAAGTTAATATATATCATGATTATCATAAAGAATTATTTTCATTTTAACTGTTTTTTTAGAGTGACCAAAATTTACCTATGATCCTTGAATAATCATTTTGAATTCTATTGTCTGATTCAGTAAAATTTAAAAATACATGTGACTGAATGAATTGATTTGCAACTAGAATGCCCAAACAGTTGATCACTTTTATAAACTTCATTAAAAAAATAAAATTTGTGAAGAAATAAACACCCAGACATTATCACTGTTTATCAAATCATAGGCTTGCTACATTGATTTTTTTCAATTATTTTTCAGAGGTCATTTGTGACACAGTCTGAATTATCTCTTAATTCTGTCAATAATGATCTAAGAAAGGCAATATTTATAGAGGGCTTACCATGTGCAAGGCATTTTACTATTTCACAAAGACTATTCAGTTGAATCAGAATGCCTAATAGAGGAAGCCAGATGGGTACATCATTAACTTTACCAGTGGTGACAAATTAGAGTTTGACCTCAGAGAAATAAAGGGGCAGATAAAGGGAGGAGGTTTGGGGTGTTCAGCCAAACATCCATTGGAGAACTATAATTTTTCTCTTGATCTTGCAAATTTACTTGGACTTGGAATTAACGTATAACAGTGTGAATTCTGGAGTCTAACTGGGTGCAAATCTCAGATCTGCCATTTACTATCTGGATGACTAGCCAATGTTTCCTCATACATTGTAAAATAGGGTTGTTAGAAGGCTCAAATGAAATAATGCTCTTAGTAAAAAGTACAGCATTCAATAGTAAGCAATGAATAAACGTGAGCAGCTAACACTGGGTACACAGATTGGCAGTGAAGGACGCAAGAAAGGAAAGTCTTTTGGGCAGCATGGATGAATACAAAAAACTGGGGCAGGGTGGGTTATGTTCCAGGAAGAAAAGGTTCTTCTATATTTCTAGGGCTTAAGTATGTGAGGAGGAGATAAGAATGGAAAGAGAGGGTGGGGCCAGACCATGGGAAGTTGCATGCCAGTGCAAGTCAATAGCTTTATTTCCTCACATTTCAATAATAATAATAATAATAATAATAATAATAATAATAATACCAATTCTTACTTTCCAAAGAGATTCCAGGGAGATGCAGAGGAAAAGTAAATAGAAAATTATTCATCTCTTTGGTGTTTTATGAATTAAAAATCTATATTACTTATGAACACTGGATGGGATTTTATAATAATTAGCCTGTCAGGATAACCAGAGTCTCTAATCAGAGTGTGTTTTGATTGGTGCCATGAAGGTTTTTCACACATTAATATCATTATTACAAGATTCTGAATTAAGTTTTAGAATTCAATGGAAATAAAACTGTACTATGAAAGGATTACTTCTTATATATGGACCCCAACATCATAAGCTTTCTTATCTAGGTCAAATGCACTAAGAACTCAGGCACCTATTTTGATTATTTGGACCCAAATATACAAATGTTTTTAAAGGTAGCTTAAAAATAAAATACAACCAAGATAAAGGGCTTAACATCCATGAGGGGGATGCTTATAAAGATTATTTCCAGTTACTATTTCATACTCAGGCAAAGGGTGCTTCTGTGATCAGTCTAAAAGATGTGGGCATGTAGAAGGAAAAATGTCATTTAACTATAATTTCATAGTGAAAGCTATAAGTGCCTTTACAGAATTTTTGCTTCTTCTTGATTCTTTGTTATAGCAGATATAGTCACCTTATTGAAAGCATAAAAGAAAAAAAAAGACATTACTCTTAGATAACAATAAATGAACCATTTAATAAACTGTTTTGGAAAAGACGTAGTCATGTGAAATATAGTTGATGTGTAAGATTTATTGACAGAGAGTTAAATAGACAGGGCTAAGTTTCCAAGTTGCTGTATGATAGTCACTTTTCTCAGTCTCCAGTGCATCATTTATAATAGGAATGGACTGTATTTAGTAGTACACAAATTCATGGATCCAAGAGAATTTTATTTTGTCTCTGTAGGTTGACACTTGGAAATCTAGACATTCAGATGGTGGTGTCCATAACAACATCTGATTCTGAGTTGTATTTGATATATACCATGCTAAATTCCATCCATGTATACCTAATAATCATCCTATAAAATATATTAAAATAATTTTTCTAAGCCTTATTTGCCCCTCAAAGAAACATAGTCTTTTACAACATTTAAAATTTTTGTTATCTAAATCATATAAAGTTTGAGTAATTTTTACTGCTTATTTTTCTGGAGCATACTTGATTTGTATACCTTGCCTTTATCTGCTTAATAAATCTGATACTTAGGTGAGTGAAAATTATAGCATCTTTAAGGCCCATACCCGTTATGTTGACTCCTGATTCATCATGGCAACAAGTCAGCCAATTGTAAGATTGTGTTGAAATTCACATACTGTACATTCTTATCCACACCATAGCAATATAAATGAGGTTCTGCATATAAATAAAAACTGCTCTAAAGTATTATTTTTAATATTTAAATTGGTCCAATTCATTTAAGGAAAAC